CCCACCTGGGCATCCTCTCTTGCAGTGATATAAATCAAAAGGAAAGTGAAGAGGAAAATACATAATTTGAAAATGTTTTTCCTTTTTCAGGGCTGCAAAAGGTACCACATGACAAGAAATAAATATTCTGATGGGAATATTCTGCTGGCTGGTGAAGAGTGACAGACTGTGTCAGCAGTCCTGAATTCACAGCAGGCACAGTCCTGCCCATCTAAACTGGAGGCACCTATTCTCTGCAAAGAGAACTTCATGCAATTCCTGTTGGCCTTCCCTGTGCAAGTGTGGGCTTTAAACCACAAAGCCCATGTGTGAAGGCATAGAGAGCACAAAACTGCCTTCTCCCAGAACTGGCACAGATGCCATGGTCAGCACTTGGGGACGTACAAGAGCAGAAAACACATGCTTCATCCACACCCAGGATCAGTGGCTCTGGAGAGAGCATATCATGGGGAGCCATAATCCATGGCATTGCTGCTGAACAAATGCAGTGACTACTTTCTGGCATCTTCACCAGATACATTTCTCCTGTTTCTTCTATGAATGAAAGCCCTCAAAGGGCAACATGTTGGTCAAAGTTGCCTTCTAGCCACCCTCCCCTCTAAGTTAGCCTCCTGTCTAACCCTTTGCCTTCTGAGATCCAATGCTGAGCTTGCCTTTCTCCTTCACCTGACCAGGTTTCATGGCTTGACACCTCCAAAGAGAAGAAAGGTCAAAAGGAAAAGTTCAGAGGCAGACAAATATAAGGCAGGGCATAGCAGCTAACCTGCGAAGGGGTTGTCACACTTATCTCAGGGACAAAATTGTCATCAAACAGACTGATGATGTTCTCCTGCTTGATCTCCTTGGAGGGGGTGACTTTTGGAGGCGGAGGCACCGGAGGCCCTTTCCTCAACTGCATGCAAGTGAGCACATGGCCACAGCACAGACGGCGACACCCAAAAAAACCAGAGACAAGAACCAGGTTAGCCACAAAAACTGAAGGTGAGGGAAATCACAACCACAGGCACAGAGCAGGGTCCAATCAACTCCATCTGAAGAGAGGGAGGGAGGGTGAAGGGCTGAACTGAAACAAAACAAAAAACCACACGCCTCCAGAGAAGGTTTGGCATCATTAGTTACACTTCAGCCGTGGGCAAGTTTCCCTCTGCAGAGGAGAAGCGTAACACGATTAATATGCATTGACAGGACATGCATACATAATTAAAGCATGTGCAACCTTCAAAAGAACCACTGGGAAGGGAGCAGATCAATTACTGAGAACACGATTCAATAGACCAGGCCAGCACTGCCTCCCTTTGCCGTACTTACCGTACCTAAGGGAATGAGAGATCAGACCCAATTTGTCCTATTATGGGTAGGTGACCATGAGGAGAGACTCTGATCTGCCCAGTAGTGGTTCCCTGGTGCACTGGTTATCAGTGTACCCGTAAGAAAGGTCTGAAGGAGCTCTTGATGGTGTCTTACCACTTCTCAGCTTTAGGCAAGAACAATTCAAACTCCTGAGAAGCCATGACTGCTGTGGGCCCAACTCTGCTCTCAGTTTCACCAATGAGCATTGACACTAATGAAGTCGTGTTTCCCAAATGGACATCCCAGAGAACACATAACAAAGTCTGACCCTGCAACTCTAACCCATCCTAATACCCACCATCATGCTAAAAGACTCAGCCTGACACTGTATCCACAACCCCATGGGAAGCTGTGGTAGACCTTCCCTATATCAACCCATCCACATCCTTTTCACATTTTCCTGTGACCAAGGCTCAGTGATCATTTCTAGATCAAATCAAACTTCGAGGAGCTGCTGCTGTGTTGGAACAAAGCAGCCGTACAAGTTCCCAGCACCACAGCAATGCTCAGCAATGACAATGCTTTCCATTTACAGTGATGTTTTACAGTTACTTGATCTTCTTATCGTACCTAGGATCCCAAGGCAGCAAGACTCAGAGACCTGACAATGGGCACCCAGTATATCAGTGTCAGGCCAAGATCTGAAACACAGCAATCCCCAACTCCTAGTCCTGTGTTCACACTCCTCCAGCATATAACTGAGCTCTACAAGGCATTTATTCTGTTTGCTAAGGATATGCCCAGTTTTCTACCGGGTTAACCTACTTTAAAGAGTGTGAGTGAGTATGCAAACACACATTTTCCACTGAATAGCTGGGTAGGGGAAATAATGAAAGTAGTGTGCTCACTTCCAACTTTTCACTATTTGCAGAAGTTGGTGTGTCCATATTCCCTGAGAACACTCCCTTCCTGAAAATCCCCTGCTTACCAGTTGTAAGAAGGAACCAGAAATTTCAGGGAAAAGCTGTTCTCAGAACAGAGCCACCATCTGCAGAAATGGGAGGCTCCAATTACAAACTCTAAAGTCAAAAAGATCCCGACTCTTCCGCTATTTATTTCTCTGAAATAGTCAGTCTCCTTCCTTCCAATGCATTAGTGTCTTGGAGACCACTATTTCCACAGTGTCCAGCATGACCTCCAACAGCAGTCTAAAACCACATTTCAAAGACAACAGGACTGCATATTGATGTTGGGCTATACCTGGAAATTCATCAAGCACAAACAACCCTGCCACCTAGAATAAAACAAATCCTCTAAAATTTTTCTGCTGACTTGGATCTCACAGGGCTTTACCTGTCTAAATTCAACATAGTTGCACTGATTTCAAAAGTGTCATTACAGTGTTTCAGTGGTGTAACTGAGAGCAAAAGTCTGACCTCCGAAATTTCACAGACCCCTGAAGTCCTATGTCATCATCAAATTACCCAGTGCAGAGAACTGATAGCAGTTGCTTCTTCCGAAAGACAGAAATAAGCTGTTTTCAGGAATTAAAGGACAGTGAGAGTAAAAGAGCTAATTTTTTGGCATAGGGAACAGTTCAAAAATTAGTTAGTATTTATTTGGTCTCTCCTGTTTTGCTGTCTTTCTCTCCACAGCCTTTGCTTATGGTTTGCATTAGTATTTCAGACAGGAAGAGGCCAGAGAATTGTACTTGCTTGTTGCTTTTTGCTTCATCCTCCCCCAGAGGACGAGGCCACTAGCCTCCCTAGGAGGACCCTAGAACAAATCACTTACCCATAGGTCAAAAGTAATGACACCTGTGAAGATTTCAGTATTAAAGTCGAGCACTGTTGAGAAAGTAGACACTTGTTTTCCAGCTGGCTGGCAAGCTGACACACACTTAGTTTCTAGACTTTATCCATACAGACACCAGGCTTGGCTCTGAGTACGAAACCCCTGTCCCTGTCTTCCCTCCCTCTGGAGCCAGCTCCATCTCTTAGCACCTAGTATGAATATGGAGTGGAGCTCTTGTTCTTCACTGTAGTAAGGCCTGGGAGAATTAATTAAATATAGATAGGCAAAGAGCTGCCAGGCGGTGGCAGCATTAGCTGCAAATACCATTTCAGTCTTGCCTGTGGCCCATCTGAGTTTCCAGCCACGGCTGCACTGGCACATTCTGCTTGCTTGACAAGGGGTGTCTCCAGGCCCATTCCTGTGGGCAGGAAGGCAGCAAGTGAATGAGAAAGCACTTGCAGGCTGGCAAAAACAAGGCTTATGTGTGCTATTTAAAGGAAAGGGAAGAAGCCAAACTCAGCAAGACAAGTCCACAGGCAGGGTGAGTGAAGTCCGCAGTGAACAGCTCAATAAATCTGTATGATTTCTTGCTCCAAATTTCAATCAAGTTATGGCAATCTCTGAAAAAGCAGGAAGGCAATTCTGGATGCACTGTCCTCTCTTCCCCATACACATACCCTACCCCAAGGTCCTAGCCAGGGAGGCGGCGAAGCTACTCGAGGCTGTGCGATGCTGAGCAGTGCAGAGACCTTGGAGAAGTCCTGAAAAGACACTGCCATGTATCTCACAGGGATGGAAAAGACCCTTTTGCCAGGGGACAAACATCCTCTTTTTGTCCCTAGATCATCCTGAAAATCAAAAACACAGTGGAGGGGAAAATATTGAGAGGCTATCCAGAAACAGGAGACAGCCTGCACCACAGGCCTGGATTTGGAATCACTCTGCTACATATGACAACAGCAAGGAAGTTCTGGGTTGCACCCATCTCTTTTCAGAAGCAATAGGTTTTCTCTTACCAGTTTGGCCAGAACCCCTCTCAGCTTTAATTCTTCCTGGAAGACTCCTCCCTGGTGTCCCACTTACTGAAATGCAAGGATTGGCACCAGACATAAATTTGTCCTAGTTACTACTTTTCCCTACTAAGCTTTTCCCCCACTCAGCAATAGAGGGATGGGAAGAGGAAGTAAATGTTTTATTTTCCTTAAATCCCAAAGTAAAACATATCACGATATGCTGAGTAGCAGGAGCTACATCTGCTGTTTTAAACATGCCACTGGGTATCTCCTGTGTAAGGAAAGGACTAACAAAGGCCAGATGGAAGGTATCAGACTCCATATAATGGACAGTCTTTTTCCTGGTACCCACCTAATTTCTTCATAGCATAAGAATATAATGCCTTTATTTTTAGCATAATATTTTATCTTGGGATTAAAGTAAAACATAATGCAAAGTACAGATGCTTTCCTTATCAATATTAATATCAATATTGAACTTTTTTCTTTGAACCTTCCTCAGTTACAGAAGTTCTTGAGAAGAAACTGGACTATTGAATTCCACAGGTTAATTCAAATGTAAAGAACAAACTTCCTCGCCTAGCTACAACTCCATCCTCCCTGGATCTTCTTGGCCATCCTACCGGACAGCAAAATGTATTACTGGCCTTCCCCCTGAATGCTCTGAATGCCTCTACAGAGACAGCTTAGTTCTTCCCTATATGATATAGACATGACCAATGAGCAACTTGCATTCTCAGGAACCTCTCAGGAACCAGTGAAGGAGAACAACAGTCACATCATATTCTCTGTGCTCAGTAGCAGGAGGTCCAAAAAAGCAACTGATGGATGTCTTTGACTCACGGAGATTGTGCTGTCAGCGGTCATACTGCAGAGACACGGTCAATGTCATGGGGACACTACCTGAGATGGTGACTTTGGGATGCTTGCCCCAGGCGCTTCCAAAGTGGACGGTTCCATCTCATGGTTGACAGTCTTGGTCTCAGGGCTGGTGATGGGAGATCCATCTGGTGGAGGCGAGGGGCTTTTATTTGCTTTCGCTGGGGTGCTGTCCCTGAAGGAAGTGGAGAGAGAAAGGGAGAGAGAGGGAAGGGGAAAGAAAGGGAAGGGAGGCCAGCCAGGCCTAGGAGGAGTTGTGCTAACCAGCACAGATCAGTGGCCTCCATTATCTCTTTGCTTCACTGCCCAGATACACGATGAAGACATTTGAAGCCTCTACAAGCTTCTGAGAAGCATCTTTGCTGAGTCACTTGCAGTCCAACACACTGCAGCAGCATTACTGTGCAGCAGGCTACTCAGTAAATTCCTACTGCATGGATATACTTTGCCTCAGACACAGAAAAACAAAACCAAAAAACCAACCAGGCATCCTTAATTCTGCTAGATTCTAACGTAAGTGCCTGACATTAAGTCATAGTCTTTTAATACTGGCGAAGCAGATGGGGAAGGAGTTCTGTGCAGCTCATTTAGTTTTAAATTCTACAGATAAGAATTTTTCTGCATGGTGGTGTACTGACACCTGCATGGGTTATGACTAATAGATTTGCAACACCTGAACTAAGGCTGTAATCATAGAATATCATATTCCTCTATGTGGTACAAACTGTCTAAGGTGGAAGAGGGGCAAAGTAGCCAGAGGTTTCACAGATTATTCCAGACAGCAAAGAAACAGTGAGATTCTGGCTACTAATAAAGATTTCTCTATTATGGAAAGTCTCCCCAGCCTTGTTTTCAATGACGAACCCCTTCTGCCCTTGCCTTTCCAGTTGGTCCTTATTCCAGGACTGTTTCTGACACACAGTCAAGTGGGATTCTTCAGGGAATTAAGATGCAAGGAGCATATGCCAATGACATTTGTTGGTTCGTAACTTGGCCAGATTTGGACAGATTTTTCAAAGGAATGGCAAGAGGCACATGCCTTTCCTTAAGGGCATGCCCTGGCCAAGTGTCAAGTCTGTGCTTCAAAGTACAGAATCATGAGAGATTTAGTAAAAAGTTGGTTACCAGAGAATTTCAACAGGGATAAAGGTAAAACCATTTTCCCAGCCTAATTCTCAGGAACAGCTAATTATCTTGGCTGAAATTCAGCTCCCCAGAAAGCAACTAATCAATTTATCTCAAGTCATGCAGAAGCAGAGACACTGGTAGGGGATATTTCAGCAGAAGTGGTTACAGTCTGGCAAAACTATACACAGCTGAAAACAGAGTATTACAGAATATTGCAAAAGGGCTGTGCAACGTCATCTACAGGGAGTGGTATTTGCCTCCACTTATAAAGTTGCAGTTCATGTGAAGTTAAAGGCCTTGGGAGAAGGCTGAAAGGAACAGATCCTTTCCTACAACTTGAGACAATAAATCCTGGCATAGAGCCAGGACTAGAGCAATGCAGACCTAGTCCCTGCAGGGACATCAAGTCTGTTATTTCTTTGTTCTGTCCCAAGAGAGCCCAGAGCTCCAGACATGTACATCCACTCACACTTGGATGCCTGAGGTGTGGTGGTCATCGGCTAGCATGCATGATGGCCTCATTCCTAAACACTCACGAGTAGGAGGACAGCAAGAGGAGGAAGGGACAGCAAGGCATTTCAACAAGTCTCCCCTTCCAAGCAAGCATCTCCCCCTGCTAAGCATTCCAGCTTTCAAGCTCCCCATCCCATTCCCTCTTCATTCACTTCGCCCTCACCCATTCCCCCCACCTTCTCCCCATATCCACATCCCACACGCACATTTCCCCACAAAGCGCTTGTTCGCAGGTCCGCATGCAGGTCAGATGTTTCTGATGACACTGATGCCAGCAGCACACCAACATGATGCAACAAACCCAATTACGTTCTCTGCCAGCAGCTCTCAACCAGGGGCACACACACCAAGGGAAAAAGAGGGAAAGGAAGAGGAAAAAGGGAAGAGTAGGGACTAAAGAACATGTACGCCAGCCCCTGCAGCTCTTCAGTTTGACTAGACATGCCTACAGTGTCCTTCTTCAGAGGTCCCCAGAAATCACTTCAAAATGGTGGGTTGTGTGAAGAATTCTGCAAAATTGACAAGGTTGTGCTATAGATCAAAAGAAGCAATGGTTGGATGGTGAAGGTAAGGAAGCCCTGCTCTAAGTAGGAGTCACCAGGAAACAGCAGGAAATGACAGAAAATGTCCTCTGATGCTAGAGTTGGGGGAAAAAAAAAAATATGTTACCTTCCCTAGAGTTGAAAGCACTTTGGAGAAGATGGGGTACACAGTGATCTACAGCTAGACTGCCAGGACTCCTCAAATGCCCAGACTACACTGGGAACATTGGAACTACTGGCTATCAGCTGGCCTACCAACACAAGGGTAGACTTTTCCTTCTAGGGACCTGAAGAGGTCATTTCTCCCAGTGAGAAACAAATTCAGGCTTATTTTCTAAAGGCCATGAAACAGCTTTTTAGTGCCTTATTTCTGGTGCCTGGCAGCAACTTAATTTGAGATATATTGGTAAAAGGTTCCCACGTGAGAGACAGTCCAGTTTCTTCCCCTCATCCTACAAGGGCTGAGAGGGCCCTGCACTAAAGCCTTCATTAAGTCACTACTATTTACAGCTTGTTTGATGTGTTGGCTGATCCCCCTAGGAAAATGCCAGTGCTAATTTTGGCTGAGCCTTTTCCAGCCCCCCAAGTGGCACCTTCATTCCTGCACTTGTTGCTTTGCACGCATTTAGCCAGTGCAACCAGCGTCAAGCGAGCTTGTCACCAGGATCCTCTGTCCCTCACGGGTCCCTGGGGAGCACACACTGCCCACACAGAGCAAAGTCCTGTCTCCAAACTGACTGTGCTTGCCTCAGGAAACACAGGGAAAAGCAAGAACTTGGGGACTGTCCCCACTGACCAAACATGAGTACCACAGTAAGAGCAAGTCAAAACAACAAGGTCATTGCTCTCTCTTTTTCCTTCCCATGAGCAATTGGGAAGTGATGCCAAATCCAGGAATATCAGGCAGGGAAGGGAAGGGGGTGTCAACTTTCTTCTGCAAATAGAGAGCTGGGAACAGGGTCTAATGGAGTTACTGCAGCTGAAGGGAAAGCCAAAATCCCCCAGCCTCTTTTAGTGCTGCTGAGCTCCTAGACCCCTCATGAGGCTGCCTCATCTGTTCTGGAAGAGCAGAGTAACATCTGCAGATGGGGTTCCCATGTGCTTGTAACAATCCTACGTTACAGGATGAAACCTACTTTCCAGTATGGCAAAAACAGACCAGTCACCTCCTGCCAAGTTCTAAAGTTAAAAAGAAAAAAAGGTTGGCATCTCAGCTAAAGCTCAGACAGGGCCTTTTAGCCAAAAGTAATTTATTTTTTAGCACCAAAGCAGGCTGGAGAATTATTTAAAAAAAACAAAACAAAACAAAAACCAACCCACAAAAAAAAAAACCAAACCACAGGGGGCAGGAGAAAGGAGTAAAAAGCACCTACATACCCCAAACATACGGTGGCACAAATGTACATTCTTGCTGCAGATCAAAGAGTGACTGAGTCCCAGACCCTCCTTCCCTGTACCATGGGTTGCACATTTCTCTGTGACCCCAGCAGCTGCTCTGACAGCAGAAACCCCCAGCACAGCCCAGGTCAGGCACCTTAACAGCTGGACTTTATCAGGGCAGAGCAGGAGGATGTTGTGGCTAGAGGTCATCGAGATGAGATTTACTAGCTCTCCCCCTGCTGTAGCAGCCATCCGTTCTCAGTGACTGGAAATATTAGATCTCCTGCCTGGTGCGGGTGCAACACTGGTCCAGCTAAGGACCAGAGACAGACATCCAGAGAAGTACTCCTGTAAATCCTCCTTTTCCTACAGTACAAAACCTCAGAATAGTAACAACACAAGACATTCCTTCATTACTTTTCATTTGAGGATATAAAAATCAAGATTTGCCCATCAGCTTCCCTGTGAAATTACCATTTTCCACCCTCCAACCTCCCACTTTACAAAGGATGCATGGCAGAGACAAAGAGAAGGGTTGTATGACTTGCCCTAGTCAGTGGGGAAGCCAGGATCAGAAAAGCAAGGATCCCAATCCACCAGCACTTGCTTTTATTGCTGGCAGGACACCATCTTGAAAATTATAATTTTTTTTTTTTCTTCCTATAAGGACACCATGGAGAGAGTACCAACACAAAGTCTAAGAAAGACAAAAATTAGAGGAAGTTTCCATGCCATTATGCAGCAATTCCCACTTCACTCCAGAGCATGTTCTTGTCAGAGTCCTTGACCTTGGCTGTGGTAACTCTAGGCATTGTAGCAATCCAGTTATTCAATGCCATCACTGTCTTAAAAGGCAAGATGCTGACATTAGCTTTTATACGAGACAACGGGCTTCCTTTTCCTTCAGCCCTGCACAAGATTTTAAATGGATGGAGCAAGATAGTGAGCATCCTCAAGAACAGAGCAAGTAAGGAGCAAAGCTGGAAGTGTCTTTCTTCCACCACATTATCCTCCCAACTGCAACAGGTAGATAGGACAGGACTTCTGAGTGTGAAAGACCTGCCTCATGGTCCTCCCTGGCCAGTCAGGGAATGAGAATGCAGCATTTCAGACCTGTTCAAAAGGACAAAACCCACCAGGTAAAACTAGAAGTTGTTAATCACCAAAATTGCCCATATTTCCCATGGAAAACCCAGCACTGCACTTCTAGTCACAAAAAAACAACTGAACAGACAATGCTTGAGCTTTCACGCTGCCTTCTTAGATAGGAAAAGAAGCAAGGATTCAAACCAGGCACACAAGCAGTTAATGGGATTATCCAGACACAGAGAGATCTGGGCAGGACCCAGCAGGCCATGAACACATTGTATCATGCAAAGGACCCTCTCCCATCACAGGGTTAACACGTGCCAGGCTGTTAGAGTCCAGCAACAGCCTCTCCAGTTTTAGGAACTAAGTCAAACACGTATTGAAATGCTGCTCTCCGTACCGGTACCTGCTCATCTTTTTCCTCAGCCTGGCGAACAGTTTAGTTTTCTTTCTGTTGAGGATGGCACGCAAATCATTTCCGTTACAGGATGGCACAGTCAAACCAGGGAGGAAAAGTTAAGCTTCCGAGCACCCATTCACTTGGTGCCACAAAACTCACTGTAATCAAATGACAAGATCTCCTCTCTCTCACACACACACAGATACACACACAAACACACACGTACACGCTTCCCTTGGCTCCTAGAAAAGTATGGCCTGGTTTGGAGAGGGTAGGAGAGGGCTTTTTGTGCCTGTCAAAGATCTACATATATGTGAGCAAACTAGTGTTTTCCCTGCTCTTTGGCATAGGGGGCCAGGGTGCACACGGAGAAGAAAAAGGAAACTGTATAGACCAGCAGAGAACTGTAAATGTCCTTTTTTCACAGGTAATCACAGCTCCTCACTCTCCCCTGTAAATGTTGGTACACAAGAAACAAGCTCCCCATTCTCCTTTACTTACGCGATCTGTGTGCAGTCTTATAGATGGAACCGAGTCAGCAGCTTTCCTACTACATCTTTTTCCAGTTTGTCCAATCGTACTGGGATAACGCTACAGATCTCCTAGGTCTTCTAGGCATCTGAGCCCTGAATGTTCAAACTCTTTCAGAAACAAATCCCAAACATATGTCTGAGGTTCCCAGAAATACATCAACTGCTCTGTGCTACTGTGCTGCACAGCCAGCATCAGATTCATCAGCCACAGTAATATTTCTGTAGGGCCTTGCATGAATGCCATAATGATGTGCACAGATAATTACCTCTCTTCTCACACCTCCTCATTCATTTCCTGCCATTGTATCCATCTCTAATCCCCTCCCCAGTAGAGAAGGGTTAGGGAAGCATCTGCTCCTACTGCAGACCACAATAAGCAATCAGATCAGTGAGGGCTATTTCCTCCTGCACACTCTCCCTCCAGCCCTGCACCACAATGAGAGGCCAGATGTGCAGGAGAGACAGAAGTGCCTCACAGCATTTCCTGGTCACTGCAAAAGCTATTTACTACCCTGGCAAACCTACATCCTCCTACAACACCCTGCTCCACTGTGCCCAGGAGGAAGAGAGTCGCTCTGGGGCAGGTCTAGCATCTCAGCCGAGATGCAGGGAGTAAGTGATGAAGCAGCAGCACTCAGATTGCTACCCGCACAGGGACCTCTGTGTGTGCACTCGTTTTCAGTTTTTAGGGCCATGTGGTCTCGTAGCCAGCCAAAGAACACAGAACTGCAGCTGAGACACCCATTAGAGCCCCAGATGAAACTAGCCGTTTGTGGGGGCGGAAAATGTGAGGACAGGTAATTTATTCACTGGAAACTCTTTCAGGCCAGAAACTTCATGCCACAACAACAATGAGCATGTCTGGGCCAGGCTGTCACTACAGCCTGAAATCACTTCCTTGAGGAAGAAAGGAAGGAGGAGGAAGGAGCTGGACAAAGCAATGGCTACAGTCTTCATCTGTCCTGTTACCTCATTCTCTTCCAAGGGCCCTGGAGGATGCTGCTATCAGAGACAACACGGCACATGGCAGCAAGAGGATGGGCACCACAGCCTCCTCACAAGGCTTCAGTCTTGTTGGGTTGTGATGATCAACAAACACCACATGCTAACTTGGGAAGAAGGTATTATTTTCACAAGAAGCGTTCCTACTAGCCTCTTGGAAATTTGGTGTTAGCAATCCAAAATTCAGGGGCCAAATTCAACTCAAATGTCCTCTTTCTTTAGAGCTGGCAAACACCACACACATTGCTGGAACAAGACATGCAAGTCGTCTATGCATGACTGCAATAGGAGGTTAAACTGGGAGGAGAGACAAGGGAGCACAGAGGTCTCAACAGCTGATCTAGCCCTTCTGAATCAATGCACTCAGACCGCAACTTGCCCTTACTTCATGCTGACTTCACCTCCTCCCTCCACCAATACACCGAGGACTTGGGCTGTGCTCCTGCTCACCCGGCACGTGGGATTAGCAGCAGCTGGAAGCCAGAGCCGGACACTGTTTCATCACTCACGCATTTGGATGGGAGCCAGACAGCCTCATCCAGAGGCCAACCTCTCCCTCTCCTCTCAGTGCTAGAGAATGTGCAGACTTGCACTTAACCATACAGGACTGGACCCAGCTGAGGAAAGAAAACTAAAGGCCTGGAGGACGCTCACTCCTTGCATACATGCAGATTGGAAGTGCTCTGAGATCAGGGGGCCTCATATTAGTGAGGCTGCAACTACTTCCACAACACACATGGAGAAAATACACCTCAGCTGGGTACACAGGAGGGGCATAAGGCTTTAGCAAACAGGTGGTTCCAAGTTTGGAGGGCCAAAGAGGAGGCTGGGGAAACAAATGGGCTCTTGGTGCTCAAGCTCACAAGCTGCAGGTACACGGTGGAAGCTTTTGAGGGAAAGAACAGGACAGATGCTGGGCAACTGGACCCAGAAGGAAGGGCAGCTCAGTATTACATGTCAGTGCATGGAATTTGACTTCAAAAAAAGCAGAGCTGAGAGTCAGTTGCCTAAATATCAGCACCTACTGAAAGTTTAAGCCTCCAGATGCTATTCTAGAAAGGTAAGAGGTATTGCATTGTGTCACCCAGCCCCAAGTGCAATCTTGGACATGCTCTCGGGACTCTCAGGAGGGCACTGGCTGGCTATATGCAGGTAGTCAAATCACTCCCCAGCTGACAACATGGAGGTTTCAATACCCCTGGTAGAGACATCCCTGTCCCTCCCCCCCAGCTGAGGGAACGACACTACTCCCACAGTACTGACCTGGGCTGTGCTTTAACGGGGAAGGCATTGCCTGAGTACTGCTTGTCTAGACCCAGCAGGACATCATGGAGGTTTTGGTTCAACTGCAAAATACAAAAATAAAAGAAAGAAAAAGCATGAGAAAAGAGCCCAAGTGCCAGAAGAGAGTCTGGGCTGGCCTGCACAGGCTGACCAAACACAGACTTGTGCCCAGACATGTACACATACTCAGCTATCCCAAGAAAGGATAGCCCTACATCTGTTTCCACTCCTCCGTGGGGTATGAAATGCTAGAGCACTCAAACTGTTGAAGAGCTGCTAGCATCTCATGGGAATGCTCTGTCTCCCTTACACATCATCCTCTTCACTTCTCTACCACCTGACCCCACTGGTGTGCTGCCAGGTACCATTGCAGAAGCAGGCAGAGCGTTTACCTAAGGGTCTATGTGCTAGAACTGAAGCTTCACTCTGGATTTGTAGCCAAAGGTGTTCCTCAGACCTGCTTATAAATCTTGGGATATGGCTGTTTCAACTGCGGAGCCCAAAGGCAGCTGGACTTCCAGTCAACTACAAGCCTTGACTTCATGGGCTGCCTGGGCCATCTAGGTTTGGGCAGGACCTGGAAATCTTTGCAGAAATGCAATATTAGGGGTTAAACTCTCCCTGGCATCGAAGGCTCCAATATTCACTCCAGACACTCCTATTCTGAAACAGCCAATTCATAAACAAGACGAGATGCCAGATTTATCATTAGTAGGAGGAGGGATCCAATGCAATCAATGTTGGAGGCATCGTGCCAGCAACACCAGCAGTTAATTGGATGCTACAGCAGTAATAAGAAACAGACAGTTCTTATGGGACAAAGCAAAAGCCCTGCTCTCAAACAAAACTCAGGAAAGAAAAATCCAAGACGTGATACAAGAAGAGAATTCCTGTCTAACAACCATCTTGCCCATGTTTTGCTGAATGTAAGTTAACAGCAACAAACTGATAATTATAACAATCCTCCCTATTCCTATCTTAACTGATTGTTAATCAGTTCATCCCTTAGTAGAGAAGAGCAGGCTGTTAATTGGAAAGGTCCCCATGAAACGTCAGCAGGGCTCAAAATTGATGCATTACACCAAGGCAGAGGGCCCCTGACTGCTGGGAATTGAAGGACTATAATGTTGCTTGTTGCTTAGCAGCTGTCTTGTTGTCAGGATGACATTGGGGAGGAGAGGGAATACAAGAGTTTTCCAGCTGGGCTCTCAGTCGCTCATTGAGATTAGTGCAACATTTACAGAGGGTGTGCAACTCTTAGGAGCAGCATACAGACCTAAGGAATTCAAGACTTCTCTAGCTTTTAACTGAAAGAACAAGAACATATTTGTAAATGAAAGTGGCAATGGGGAGCTTTCCCACAGATTGTTCCTGAGGTCTCTGCTGGGTGCTGGCACACAGCACCAGGATCCAGCCTGCCACCACCAGGTTACCACACCACTTACTGCTGTGATTCCCAACTCGTGGCCAACTGGTAGCCCATGCAAGGGCCATGCTAAGCACTCAGATGTCTTCTTCTGGGTCACAGGACAGGAAAGAAGCCAAAGCAGAGAGGTACTGCTGGGAAGTGCCTTCTTGAGGGACCAGAGTGAGGCAGGTCTCTGTCTTCAGCCAACTTGCAGATTGGCAGATTCCCTGCCGTTTTCATCCCCACAGCTAGATAGATGAGGTTTCAGAGCAACTTGCTGCCAGGCAGCAGAGGAGGCGGCAAACAGATACCAGGTTGAGAGTGCCCAGGTTATAGGTTACAGATCCATAATGTAGACGAACTAAAAAAGGTAGCAAGAGATAGGCCTGAAAGTGGCTTCCCTTCCTGCTGTGGATCTGCAAATGAGCCCTGCCAAGTAACACAAACTCCCCATTGCTGCATGGCCCTGTGGCCTCTTTCCTGCGCTCCATCCCTTTACATTACTATCTCAGACAGCTTTTCTCCCAAGCAGCTCAGAAAAAACTAAGCGTTAACATTTTCTGTTAACATGCTCTGTTTTCTCCAGCTGTTTTTTTCAGGGTTTTGTGTTTGGGTTTTTTTTTAGTAACAATGAGGAGAGGGCATATTAGTAGGATAAGCTGTTAGTTGCCTTACCTTGCTCATTTCTTTATGGAAGTTCTCTTCTAGGCCTGCTATACTCTGGAATGTGTTGACGTAGAAACCAACACGACTGCCAAATGAAAAATGAGACAGAAAAACTTAATGGACACAATGCTCTCCCAAAACCTTTCAATTCTGCCCCTTCTGCTACCTCCCACCCACCATTCCCATTCAAACTCAACTCTGTCAGGTCTGGTAGATGCTGGAAGAGAAGGGCGGCAGAGAGGCATGAAAGGGATGATGGAGCAAAGGCCAGGTATGGGGCAAACATGCCTAAGATAAGGAGGAGGCCAGGTAGGATAGGATCTGAATTTGTGCTGGCTAAAGGTAGAGAGAGGTGCAGGATGGGGGGGAAAGAAAGGAAAAAAGGAAAGAAGAAAAAAAAAAAAAGAGAGCCAGCAGTAGGGTGATAGAAAGGAAAAGGATAGAGGCTGTGACACAGATGGAGCGTGGGGAGAGCTGGGGGAATTGGCAGGACAGATATTAATTCACTCTGAAGTCCCTCAGCACCAGGGGAAGCAAAAAAGCATGAACTGTTTGTTTCAGGGGCAGAAGAGTAAGAAAGCACAGGATAGGCACAGAGAGCAACAGGAAAGCAAAAGGATCAGCTGCATAGCAGGAGCCTGTGAACAGCCTGTGGCACCTTAAAATCCCAGCAGCTGCCTGCTGCCCTCCTTCCTTTAGCCAGCCTGCCAGCTGCCAATAGAGAGTGCTCTACCAGCACCCAGCTGGAGGAGCAACAGCAGGAGGGAGATGCTCTCCAAAGCCAGCAGCATCACCATTCCGCACATGGAACCACCCAGATGCCTGTATCCCTCCCAGCTCCTTCCTCAGCCAGGCCTGCAAGCTGCTCTGAGCAGAGTCCTGACCCAGGCTGGGAGGAAAGGGGAGTGAAGGCAGACATCAGCACCTTTGCTTTCTGCCCACTCTCTCCATCCCCCCCAGACCAGGATTGCCAACCCAGATGTGATCATTGCATTTAAAAATAAGAAACTGGGACACTCCTACGAGGATTTTGCCTGCTTTCCACTGTGCCCTCCCCATACATCAGCTTCTGCTGCCCTCCAGTTCATCCTCCAAGCTAAATGTTGGTCTGTTTCTTTCTCCTCCCTTTTCATCACCATAAGCACTGGTATGGCAAATCCATGGTCTCTCAGGTCTTCCTAGTCTCTCAGCCCATTTTCCTCTGCCCAGGCTATGTTTTGTTAAATAGAGCACAACAGGACAGTTATAACCACTAGTTCCTCACTGGGTCCTGTGTCACATAGCCAGGAGCACATTTAGGGGCAAGAGAAGGCAGCCACACCAGGAGCCTTCCCCTGTCTTTGTTCACCCAACTGCCCAAACCTGAAAGTGGCATGCAAAGCAGAGCAACCTGTCCTCTCATCCTCCCTCTTGTGTTAAACCTACTGCTTCACCAGGTGCTCATAAGTTTGCATGGCGAGACACAGTGATCAAGGCATCACCTCTTGGCTCTTTCCAAGTCCAGTGACTGTATAAACCCCTCTGACATCTCATCTTTCCTTAATCACTCAGCTGACATACCCACTCAGCTGCAGATGTTCCTTCCAGCCAGCCAGCTCCACACTCAAAATCTTAGTGACCCAGCCTGCTCTGTCTGCTGTCCACAGCAGAAGCTGGGCCATTGCCCAGGAAAGTTGGGCAGAGTTGGTGGGGCAAAGGGATTAATCAGACAAAGCATAGAAACACAGTTTCTTTTTGTGGTAAAATTGAGTTTTTCATGAGGATCATGAAGCAAAGCACAGAAAGCCCAGGGTGAACCTGGCTGGGGGGAATCCTAGAACAGACTCTCTGAGATGATCCAGAAAACAAGAGCAGACACCCAGCCCAAGCTAAGGAGAACAGTGATAGAAGAGCTTGGGTGTTCACTTCCTTCCAACCAGCCCTTGCGAAAACTTCCAGTACTCACCTATTCCATAGTGAAGGCAGCTCCTCCTGCAGATCAACGTTCATCTCTTCAAACACCTTTTGAGCCTTTACTAACTCTTCTTCAGCCTTAATAACAGAGAAGGGAGATTGTCAGCTCCAGTGCAGACAAGTACCCTGCAGGGCTGGGACAACTGTGACTCTTTTGACTTCCTTGGGAGACCAGGCAAAATTCTGGCATGGGGTAATCCCCGTCCTAAATGAGTCTCCCAGGAACCAGGGTTGATTCACAAGTGACCTGAAGCCCCTTCAGTTTGCACGTGTTACTCTCAGGTTTTCTCTCAATAGATTTCCCAGTTTGGACACTCAGTAAATCAAACATCCACTAATGTGCTTTAAGTTCTGTAAGTTTCCCTGGCTTCAAAAACTGAATGGAGCTGGTCAGGCAGTTCAGCCTCCAGCTTGGATACAGATGAAGATAATAGTGGCCCCTGCCCCTTGCCAGGTCTCTGAAAGAGTTGAAATCCATCCCAAATGGCATTGAAGAAGAGTCTTCCCTCATGGGGACTCTCTCTGCTCAGGTAAGGTCATGCCAAAGCCCCATCTCTTCTGAGAAAGGGAGGAGGTCTGCATCCTTGGCTGATACAGCTCTCTCACAAAGCTGACTGGAGAAGCAAGGAAGGGTATGCAAAGCATGAGTTGTGCCAGCAGGAGGCCAGGCTGGAGTGCTTGAGCAGCAGGTCTTGGTTTCAGCGGTCTCACATACTCTCATAGGTGAGGATCTAATACAAGAGCAATCCCTGGCTGGCTGTCGGCCACCAACACCAAAGGAAATATGCCTCGTACAGGACCTCTTTCTCCCAGTTGAGAGCTTAAATTTGACCTGTTCATTTGACCTAGACACTGACAGACTCCAACACTGATACCTGAATTCTACTGGGTTTCAGTGACAAGAAGGGTGATCCTGGTTTCTGTTGCTGACAGCAGACACTAGCAACAAGCACATTCCCCTTCCCATATTTGTCCTAGGTGACCTCTTCCTCTTTTCAGTGCCTTGACTTAAAATTCAAAGCTTGCTAATTAAAATGTTTCTATTCTGTAATTTGCAACAGCACAGCATTCTCCCATAACCCTGTGCACTGGTATGCAGGATGGCAAATCCCTGCATGAGCAACTTGATGACACATCTTAACAGAAAGGTCAGCACAAGTGCCTACTTGGGGGAACTGGATCTCTCTCTGAGCCTGCAGTCAGATTCCTACCCCTTCTACAAAATGAAGTTTTATCTTCTTTGTGCCAGCTTAATTAAAGAAACCCAGCTTACTACTCCTTAGCGACAGGTATATGCAAAGATAGGATTGATGGGAGAAAGGACTTAAAAATATTTTGCCGTTCAGAGTCCTACTCCTCACAGTGTGGTATAGGATCCTTACACTCTCCATTTCTCTCCTGATTTATGAGCAACCAGCAGAAGCTCCTGCTTTCCAGCTAGCTCCACCTTTCAGAGGGTCGCTCATTGCTGCCAAAGGCAGGGCCAAAACTTTGTACTCAAGATTAGAAGAGAAAGTTTCCCCCAGAAAAGGACACAACTGGGAGGTATTCAAAAGTTAAGCAGACCTTGTGAGGAACACGCAGGGGGAGAAGGGGCCATGATGCTTCCACCCAGAAACCCCTGTATTTCAGTGCTACGCCCACTGAAAAACCCAACATTTCAAGAGAGTTTGCAAAAAACAAACAAAAAGCCCATTTAAACAGAGACACAGTTTATGCTGGATCACAGACAATGATCACAAAGACTCGTTCTGCCTTAAAATCCCTCTATGAATGAATGTTTCTAATGTAACCATTTTAAAGGGGAAAAAAAAATCCCAGTCCATCCTTTGGCTTTATCTTACTCTAATTTCCAAACTAGACTGGAACCAGAATCAACCCAAGGGATGGGATAGCTGGGAGATGAGGCACCATTGAATGCTGTTAGTTTTTCAGATACGGTGAAAATTAATAACAGTCTTTCCCTCTCTCGTTTACCTGTTCAGAAGGTCAAAGAACCTAGAAAGCAATGTGTGAATATTGTGACATCCCGAGGCAAAAGCAAAATCAGCAACAGGCAACGTTCACTCTAGAGTAGCTGTAGGAATCGGGGACTCATCTAGTGCCCGTGGCTTAGCTAGTGCTCTCAGTCCCAGGTGTAGCATTGAATTAATTCTTCATTCCTTTGTCAGCCCAGGGATCTTCTCACCAGTGAGATTTATTTTGCTTGGAAGCAGGGGTCCTGACACTGGATAGCCCTGACTGCTTCCAGCTGGAGCCGAAGACAGACATCAACTTGGTCATAAGCCCTGCTAGAAGAAAAGCCAGCTCATGCAGTACAGTGGGGAAAGGAGGAAAAAAATAGGTTTCAGGGGCAGAGTCCACTGCTACTGTATCTGTGCACTTTCTATTTCAGCTGTCATCCTTGCCAACCTGATGGAGAACTGAGGCAGAAGGACGTATTGCCCAGGTCCATGAAATGCGATCTCAGAAAATTCTTCCTCTCTTCTCCCTGCCTGAAAGGGAGAAGGTTTGAGCAGGAGCTGGACAACACAAATGCTTTCCTGACCTTCCCCCTAGCCAAGGCTCAGAATGCCAAGCACAACCAGTTCAGTTGTGACAGGGAGGCAGTTATTCCCCATTACATTTCCTACCATCATGCATCCCAGCACTCACGAGTGTCTGGCAATATCCAGGCTAGTGCTTTCAGGCAATCTGGTGACCATTTCTCTTCAAACACTATGCTGTGAACTGTGGTAATTATGCACTGTTCAGTAAATATTTTAGATATCTATGAGGCAGGGGTAAGGAGGAGAGCTGGGCACCTTAACCCAGGCCAAAGCCCCCATCAGTCCCTGCCAGACCCGCCCCTCAGAAGGGCAGCACAGCCCAGGACTCAGCTTGCTGGCTTTCTCCTTGTCCTGGTTCCAGCTGGGATAGAGTTAATTTTCCTCCTAGTAGCTGGTACAGTGCTGTGTTTTGGATTTAGCATGAGAATAATGTGATAACAGACTGATGTTTTAGTTGTTGCTAAGCAGTGCTTATACTAAGTCAAGGACTTTTCAGCTTCCCCTACTTTGCCAGCGAGGAGGTGCACAAGAAGCTGGGAGGGGGCACAGCCAGAACAGCTGACCCAAACTCGCCAAAGGGATATTCCATACCATATGACGTCATGCTCAGTATATCAGCTGGGGGGAGTTGGCCGGGGGCAGCGATCACTGCTCCGGGACTGGCTGGGCATCGGTCAGTGGGTGGTGAGCGGTTGCATCGCTTGTTTTTCCTGGGTTTTGTCCCTCTCTCTTTTTTTCACTGATTTCCTTTTCATTACAGTTTTCTTATTAATATTATTATTATTATTTCAATTATTAAACTGTTCTTATCTCAACCCACAAGTTTTCTTACTTTTGCCCTTCCAATTCTGTCCTCCATCCCACCGAGGGGCGCGGGGGGTGGGGGGACATGAGCGAGCGGCTGTGTGGTGCTTGGTTGCCGACTGGGCTTAAACAACGACACTCCTACAGACAGACATGTCATTCTGTTATCACAGCAGCACCAAGGATGTTGCTTTTTAGTCTGTATTCAGCATTTCAGGGGAGCTTAGCAAAAAGGCAAAAATTTGCTGTTCTAAGCCATTTTCCCTTTTGTTTCAAAAAGTGTAGTCACCAAAATTTGTAACTGAGAGCGTGCGATAGCAACCCCCCCAGGAGACTTTACAGAAAACGCCCACTGTATTGTTTTTGTTAGTATCTGCTAAAGGCCTAAAAAGCCAGCAGTTTGCACACTGGAGGAACGGACTTGATTTTACAGTAGAAATAATAGGTCTTGCTGACCCCATTTTTGCTTGGAGGTTGTAAAATTATCAGGCAAGAAGAAACAGCAACACAGCTGCTTGTAAAGGGAAGGACTTTTTTTTTTTTAGGCTTAACATTGTGAAGGTCTTCAATAAATGCAGTGTCATCAGCCTTCCCGCTTTTATCAAGAGCTTAACGAGATTTAGGGTTGTCAATAACACTTTCAGTCTTGAAGGCATGCAAATATGAAACCTGAAGCCTTTTTTTTTTCCTGCCTGCTTGTGTTTGTGAAGAAAAGCTGGAAAACCTACAGGTTCAGAATACAAACTAATCTTCTTTATTGAGATTTTTTTTTTAGTCCCCAATGAAATTAAAATTAAAAAAAAAACCAAACAAAACCCAAAGACTCGCACAAGTAGAAACAGAAAATTAAGGTTGGCAATAGTATTGTTTAGTTCAAGAATGAAAGAGGAAAAACTTAAAGGAGGACTTAACTTGATTTGAAAATACCTGAGGTGACTGAAAATACTAATGTCATTTAGCAGGAGGTTAACACCCCCACAACACAGAGGGTGAAAGGATTACATACCCCCTTGTCACCTGCTTTAGGGCAAAGTCACCCAGTACAGTGAAATTATCGATTGACTCTTGGTAGCCTGTCTAAGATCAGAGTGTAATGGATGAAGGAGCACTCGTAAGTACTGTTTCTCTAGGCAATCTGTGGGCAGTGGTATTACTCCCAGTCACAGCAGTCAGTCTGAGAAGCGGAAAAATGCCCAAGAGCCGATTTATTTATTTGTGGCTTGAGAAACTTCCCATACCTGCTTTCTAGTCCTCCAAAACAGACCAGTCAAGAACCACAACCATGCAGATCGTTCCCAGCACGGCAGAGGCACAGGAAAAGCCCCCGGCAGCCTGCCAAATGTCCTTCTCCCTTCAATCAAGAATGAATACATATTTCCTCCCTTTGCTATGCATCTTAAGCAGGACGGCTAACAGCTGTTCTTTCCCCAGGCTTTATTGATGTGGTAATCTAGTCTTTTCCCTGATCTGCAGTCATAAATGACTGTGGAAAAACTCAGGTGCTTTATAAGGTGAGAGGAGTTAGTGTTTTTAAACTGCAATTCATTCACTGATGAGGAATGTGAAAACGTAGGAGCATTTGAATGAGAACAGATGAGCTCACCAGGAACCTGTGAGCAGGTAACTGGTGCTCTCCCAGCCTGGGTAATGATTTACTATCCCTTGTCTATTGAAAGCATTTTCTTCTCACTGACTGTTTTCTGTCAGCTCCCTCTTATCCCTTTAGGAGCTCCAATGTAAATACCAAGGGAGATTTCATCAGGAAGCCACACTTCTCCTATGCAAGTAGGATTGAAATTCTTAGTCCCTGCAGTTTCTCTGAGCTGCTCTCACGTCCTTCAAGACGCTACAACCTAAATGTTCGGCCAAGTTCTGCAACCATGACCTCAACCTGGAGCTGTTCAAATGTATTACACGGGGTGCGAATTCCTTGGTCTGGGCCCACCTCTTCTCCTATGCAGACTGAACCTCCGTACACCTGGGAACAGCTTGTTTAGACCAGAAGGGCCAGCACAGTGCCCATTTTGGAAACTTGGATTTTACCATGGGAGAATGTTGCAATTTAACTCAGCAGCCATAGAAATTGCTTTTGAAGCAATGTGGTTTTTTCTGGCTGTACTCAACAGCAGAAACGCAGAAGCCAATTTTTCCAATGTTTTCCTCTTTTTTCTTTCTTGAAACATCAACAATAAAAATTGACTGCTTCTCTTAGAAGAAAAATAAAGGAATAATTGGAGGAACTACACTACATCATCCTCTGCCTTGGAGTTATTCCATAGCCTTTCTTCATCCTCATTTCATTTTAGGGTGAGAAAACAATAGCTCAGTATTAACACACCTGATTAGAAATCAATAGGGTAGGCACAAATTCATTCACTGGTCAGCAACTTCCACGTGTCCACTGTGGCTCAGGAATATCAAGGACACACTTAACAGAGGGGACTAGAGTGAACGTTGCCTAGAGATTAGTCGCATGGTACAATCTAGAGCCCAAAATAGCGCATGCAGGGTTAGAGCCAGGTAGATCAGCAGTCACCTGATTTCGGAGCAGATTAGTTTGCGCAACGAGGTGAGCTTGTAGCTTCCCTTGACACCACTGAGGCGCAGCTTTCTCAAGCAGCGAAACAGGCTGGGAGGAGGGAGCATGTTTGAGTGAAAAGAGAAAAAAATAAACAGAGAACAAGAGAGACACAAACATATATCTTTTAGGATAAAAAAACTAAAATCACAACAGAGAGTGTACTTAGAGGCTGGGCCAAACCAGTATCACCAAGGTGAGAGAAAAAACAAACATCCTGGGCCGATCAGTTATGAATCCTTTGAAGCATGCCAAGTTTAGCAGTAATTAATGCTCCAGTGTGGGCTGGGATACTGCAGACCAGCCAGGCAGCTGCAAAGAGCAACAGATATAGTTGTTAGTGACCTAGCACACAGACAACCCTACTCCAAGTCATGGCTGTGAAGTGAGAGCTCCTTAAAGAGAGGTCAGGATTAATCAACCACCGTAATTATTTGCATGCAACAGCTGAAAGTCCACAGTGCTTTATTTTAATGGCGGGTTGTGAGTTTAGCAATAAGTGGCAGGAGTCCTGAGTGGGAAAAGAACATCCATATATTAGAGAAGGAAAAAACAGACAAATATAGCTCCAAAAAGTATTTGCATTTCTGTTTGTGTTACTATACCATGAAACATCAATCAAGCCAGTTCCCATTTGTATGCTGCGTCGTAAACAAGATTTCTCTTTCCTAGGGGCCTGTCATCATATTCTAAAGTACCTTACACCGGAACAACCCTACTTCAAAGGTACACGAGCAAAATTGCAGTCACAGGAACAGAGAGGTGAACTTCCTACATCAGCCTGGCATGCTGAGCCCTGGCTGCTGCCCATAGCTCTGCAGAGCTGCAAGTGTGGGATCACAGGCTGGGCTGTGAAACCTGCCCATTTGGGAACAGCATACGTACATAACTTTTGGGGACCCACTGCTCCCATCTTTACAGGACCAGGACAGTGCGATGTGTCACATTATTATCCCGTGCATGAGCTTACGGCCTAAAGTACAGAGGGTGGAAAGATCTGATCCGGTGCACATTTTTGGCTAACAAGAGGAGCCCAATCACGTACTAAGAGACACTTGCACAGGCTAAATCAGGAACATAGCACCAACTCCTAAATCTCAACATTTCACTCTTCAAACTGCACTGTTCTTCATACTTCAACAAAAGAGCAACAAACGATGCCTTGTTAATAATGTCTTACGTGAGCATTCGGGGCAACATGAGCGAGTGCAGCAATGACAAAGGTCAGCCTCTGGTGAAAATCACCAGGTACTAACCTGAGTAGATGAATTCCTACAAAAAACATTTCCACTGCAGCAAAGATCCCAGAAGCACACACCAATAATACTACCACAGCCCCAGGGAAATTCTGCTCTTATCCCCAAACACAGTGAAGTACTGCTTTGAACAGAAGGAACAACCCGCTGGGCCTCGTGCCTTGCATACACAACCAAGACTTGCTTTGCCACACAAATGATGCAATGACACCTGAGCCATCAATCTCTCTCCCTTTTGTCTGTCAAGGTTAATCACAGTGCATGCACTGGGTGAGTAGATGACTGATGACTTGCAGCTTAAAAATAAAAGTACTGTCAGTTGGCCATTAAATGCAGATCTTTCGCTCGGGGGAGAGATGCATCTTTATTTCTTCCATGCAGGAGAAACACTAACATCTCTCACAGAGTCCATGTTTCCCCCTACCAGGAATAACTCTAAGCAAAGGACGACAAGTCTTCTCAGCCTGGTTAACAGATACAGATCCAGGCTCTTTCTTTCCTGTACTGCTTCTAACCTGAAGAGTCCTGATGTGCCATGGCCCACATTCAAGAGAATTAAAAAGATGTCTCCCCAGCCCTGAACTATTCTATTGTGTCAAGACCTGTCCTGTGGAGTGGAGCACGTAGATTCAAATCCACTCAGGGTACAGGAGTAATCCACAGCTTATTTTCTGGGCAGGTATTCAAACCATGCGCCTCCTCTAGTACAAGGTTAGCACTATCACCTTTCTTCAGCTACCTTTGAAAGAAAATCTGAATTTTATTTTAATGACATTTATTTTAATTTTAAAAAAAAAAATCCTGCACTTGCACGTTAGGCATGCTCTGGGGTTAACCCTAGATCAAGCTGTTCACAGGCATGAAAGAAACCACACCCTGACAAGAGAAAACTCTTTGTTTTCCTGCTTTCAGCCATATTTATTATCAGTAATTGTGACCAATAGACAACAGAACACAGTCATCAAGTGTGCATAGGGTGCATTTCTACCAATGAACTTGTAATTCACACTCCTAAGGGTCTCTCTGTCCTAGAATATCAGAGGACTTCATGAATACAACCAGCCTCAAGCAACACTCAAACACTTACTCTCACCACTGCTATAAGATGGGGAGACAGAGCCCCAAGAAGCAAACTGGCAAATTTTGCTGAGGCACTGCAAGGCTTTGCTTCCCCCAGAGGTACAAGAGCTTTCCTGACAGAGGTTACTGGTCCTGCAGCATCTGAGGAGATGCACGCCTAGGCCTTGGCCACTAAGAGAAGCTCACTGATGATGGCGAGTCTGAACCAACACAATAGAGACCACCCTGCTTTCTAGAACTAAACAAATGAGAAGGAAATACCTAGTCAAACTTCACCAGTTCACGACACCACTCTGAACAAAACACACCCAATGAAGAGGTAGAGGCGCACTTAAAAACTGCTCAGTAGGCAAATGCAGACCTCATGAAATGAAAGGATGGCTGCACATCCTTCTGCTTGCTTTACCTTTGCGATTTTGGTTTCATCCTTCTTCTTTGCAGTTTGCAGGGCTTCAAAATGATGTCTGGCACTGTCGTAATCCACAAGCTTCCTTCCTCGCTTTGCTATACGAGACTAAGAAAGATGGAGAGAAGAGTTGTGACAATCTTCCCCAGCAACCAAAACCCCAAAGCCTCTCGAGGAAGACCCCCCTCCTCTTCACCCAATTTCCAGAGCATCCCATGCTCTGCCCACACAAGGACACTCACTGGATACTCCACACAGGCTGCCCAGAGAGGTGGCCCTGGGAGCCACCTGTGACAACCACCATTCTACAGGGAGCTCCTCAGGAGGAGTGCAGACCCAGCCAGGGAAAGCAAAGGGATCCAACCAACTACAGGCTCCACTTCTGGATAGCATTAATGTTTTCAGAACTGTAGCACCAGTGCTTCCTAAGCCTCCCCATGTGCCCCCATCCTAGGGGCAACTGCTTCATCATTTTCAGGGCCTCCTGAGGGCTGCAGCCAGACTCTAACTAACCAGCTCACAGTCCTAGATCATGTGGAAGCTCAAAAGATTAAGTTCAACAAAAGACCACATTTCTCTTACCAGCACATCAAAAGCACTCATCCACATGCTCAGGATACGCCTAGGACAGCATTTTGGACCTTGCAACAGGAGGTCCAGACAGAATTGACTGCAGCCACAGGCAGTCGTCCATTGTAACTAGCTATTAAGCAAGAGAAGTGTGAGGGAAAACCAGTAGCACTGTGTCACTAAAAGGCAAAACATATTGAAGCCATAGCAAACACGAGGAGGGAGCCAACTGTGTACCAGACTCGTGTTCAGGAATGGAGTCCTGACAGGTCCATGGGTGAGAATCCAGAGCAGACAGTCAGGCCTGTGGCCTGATGATCCTCCATTACCCCTCTTCATCTGAGGTGCCTCAGGCTCTCTCCCCCAGCATAGATTCACCTCGGCAAGGCTCAGGCCCACTGGATTAAGAACCATCCATCCCCCTTAGACCCTCACCCCCACGCTCTCTACAAACACCCCAGGCTATCTGGGTTGGAGCACAGGTCTTCCCAGCCTGACTGTAGTACCACCCCAGCTTGGAACGCCCGGTCCAGTGTCAGTAATCAGCAGTCTAGAGACAGGCTGCAGAACTGGAGTGAAAAGGCATGGCAAGGAGCCAGGAGGGTTTCTAATTAACCACAGCACCCAGGGAGATTGAAAGTCCAAGATGAAGAATCAGCATTGAGATTTACTTGCAAAAGCAAAATCCCCCGCTCCGCTGCACTTGGCAGGGAGATGCGGTCTCCTCTCCCTAGGCTCCTGCAGATTAGCGGCAAAACCGCACTCAGGGCTGATCTTTCTGCCAGACCAGCTGGGACCAGTTCACATGTCTCCTACACATGCTTCTCTGCACTTTCAGCAAAAGCTGGTGCAGCTCTGCTTGAGTCACAGCAGATCTGCAGGATCTCAGCCACACGCACACCCAAACTGATTTCAAAGCACTCAGCTCACTCCAAGAGAGGAATCACGAAGAAGCTGAGCCACCTCGCAGTCGAGGTCACTAGAAGACCCCTCCCCCCAACATCACGCTGCCAGCCAGACATGGAGACAGGATGTCAGAGGGGGCTTCCAGCAGTATGACAATCTGAGATGCTAGTTAATGCATCTTACACACACACCAGATAAATCCATAATCTGGCCGTGTGTTTTAAGAGACAGGATTTTTCCCCCAGGTCAGACTGGTAGAGATAGCTGGAGTTTTGCCCACCTCTGTGACACGGCAAACAGCCACTCCTTGATTTCCCTGCCACCCCACCAGGGAGTTTGATTCAATGTTACCCATCCCTCAACAAGGTCACTCCTTCCCCTTTTTGCAGCCCCCAATCTTCTAACCCCCACCACTACCTGACGGTAAAAGCTGAACTCCAACAGAGTTTACTGCTTTGCAATACATCCATCTTAATTTAAGCCTCCTTAAAAAAACTAACCAAACAAAAAAACCACAACACAAACCACCACAAAACACTTCCCCCCCCTCCTCCTCACCAACATTTGGTTTTAAACCTAGTAGAAACAGGGCACCAGTTTCAGTGCAAGACAGAAAATCGCCAATTCCACAGCTATTCAGAACTTAGGTTATGGTTTATCTTCTCTGAGCTCACTGCAGAGACCTGTTCTCTTACTGCATACTCTGCAACCTCAATCAAAAACTCACTCAAATATTATAGATTATGCAGGAGTACTGCTCCAAGCAGCTATAGATACTGTCCTGCGAAGAAAGGATAAAGTACTTTTTGCATGCCTGTTTTTCAAGTTAGAGAAGACAGAGGTTTTGTTCACCACTCCCCACCCAACATTTAAAAATTATTCTCTTTGACTTATAAAAATTCCTTACTGAAGGAATGACGTGTTTTCACATTCCTACTGTGGATCCCATTGGAAGTCCAAAAAAATTCAAGGGAATTTTTCCAGCCAGTGAAGGAGATTTCAGAATATGTTAAAATTGAACAAAAAATAATGCATGCGTGATCTAACTCATCACACATTTGAATTACTGGGCCATCAACAAAAAAAATGGGCCTTCACATAACTAAAAGTCATCTTCTCTCCATAAATCATCTTTCATTATTACAGTAATGCCAGAATTCCAGGAAAAGCAAAAAAGTTTGCTTTTGTGGAAACTACAAAACAGAAAACTATTACAACAACCAAAAACAACTGAAATATTCTGTAAATTACGTAAGACCGGGGGGGGTTGCCTGCCACCCTCAAAAACTCTAATTCCTTATGTGAAGCCAAACTACACTTTTGTACAACTGTAGCAACCTTCAACAACAATACTTATAAGAGTTTCTACCAGTTGAAGAAACCAGACTCAGTCTGAGCACTTCTCACTGCTCTGTGGTAAGGAGGATGATGCATTCAGCTGAACTACCAATAAAAACATATTGACCTTTTTTCATTCACACCACTGAAAGTCTGTTTTAAACAAATAGCTAACTCTGAAATATATCCATATCTTATTGTAGGAACCAACAGAAAGCCAAATTCTCACTCATTTTAAGAAGGGAAGCAGAGATGAGTAGTGCTCTCTTTAAAGCATTACTTAAATTGTGCATAAAATTGCTTTAACTTCCATTTTCTAGAGCATCATCTGAAGACTGAGAAAGGAACATTAGTAATAAACACCTTAGTGGCCCATTTGGAAGACAGAAAGGATCCATGGGAGCTCGGTGCCTAACACCTTGAGTTTTGGTGGAATTTGGTTGGTCCCAATCTTGTGCTCCTTTTAAAATCCCACCATAAAACCTCAGTGGGACCCCAGCAGAATTAAGAAATCCCAAAGATACTAAGCATGGAAGAAACGTGATACCCCGAGGTGACCCAATGCACAGCCAACAAGGCTGGTAAGATGTGATTTGGACTGAAGCAGTACAGAAGTCTGAGTATACAGCAAGCCTGAAATAAAACCTTCTGCTTAAGAAGCAGTGCACGAGCCTCTGCGCTGCTATCTGAGGCACATGGCATCACACTACAGGGAGTGATCAGCTCTACAGCCTTGAGCGGGTGGGAAGCGACAGCAAGCCTCTTCACCCTTCCCCACTTCAGACTTCCAAGGACAGAAGAGGCTGGAAAAATGAAGCAAAAACAAGGAGCCCCAGGAGGCAAGGACACTGCTGTTCAGGGCTCATTCTACAAGCCTGTGACCTGTCCCTCCTTGATACAGCACGATCCTCCTGAAGCAACAAATATTGACAAACGTTTTAAGAGACATGTGGTGTGGAAAGGGTTGTTTTCACTGGGAAGAAGCCAAGCTGATACTTCCCATATGGTGATATCATTACTAGTGCTTCCATATGGTGAAGACATTTCCTGCATAACCTTCTCAAAACAAACGGAGAGGAGATAACTGGGGGGGAAGGGAGAGGACATCATTCAAACCCAGGTCCTCAGTATGATCTCCCCCAGAAAGACACCTATCCAGCATTCCCCCTTCTCTGCAAAAAGCTGGTTATATGCACAGCAGGACTTCAGAGAACACACAGAAATCTGCCTTCCATACCAGCCTCTACCTGTAAAGCACATTTGCCACTTACTACTTCCTCAAAGCTCTGTACATACAAGAATGTTAAAAAACCAAAGGACTGAAAAGAGACAGAGCTTGCGAGTTATTGCTGACACTGCCCTCCTGCACTGTGATACAATAGGAAATTTTATGGATCCTCCTGTTTCACACTTATGTTTTCTCTTCAGCATCTTTCCCCTGGATTCTTCACTCTCATTTCAAGCCCAAAAGGAGAACGTAACATTTTCACATGACCCAGCGCTGCAAAGATCTTAGCTGCTTTAAAAGGAGACCTTGCAGCAGCACAGCACACACATCCTCCTAAAGAAGATGGGGATGCAAGAAATTGATTCTGATGAGGTTTCATCTGCTGTGACTCTCCAAATCAAAAGGTTTAAAGAGAATCTTACTTTAATATCTGGAAATTGGCCAAGGTACGTATCCATGGTCAGAAGTGCCTGATCAACCAGCTTCTGATGGAAATCCGTCCAGAGGAGATCATTGTTCTGAAAAACAAATGTAATGAGCCAACTATTAAGAACACAGAGCTCTGCATTTCTGTTTTTCTCCATGAGTGCTACAGTCAACAATTTCAGTCCTCCAGAGCTCTTAAGAAATAGTCATTTCTTTGGAAAAACTAAGTAGAGAAATTAGTTGAAAACAGAGGTCATGCCAGAAATGCAGAAACAGAGAAGAAAGCCTGATGCTGCTAATTCAGGTGACCTCTCCAAGGACACAGCGCCCTTTGTGAATCTTCCTTTGAGGGCCTATCTTTTCCCCCACAGTGCTAGCTCAAGTCCATGCAATGGAAGGAAAGATGAAGGTCAGGCTGGCTTTACCCCCTTCTCCCAGCAGCCACAAAAATGAGACACCTGACACCACTAGGCACCATTTTCTGCTTTTCATTACAACCCAGCTTTCTGGAGGATAATGAACAATAACAGAAAGCTATTCTAGCAGTCTTCAGCCTTCACACCACCTGCCTCCACAGCCCAATGGAGGTCACATCCAAGGCTTGCACCCTAACCTGTGCATGCTTTATTCTTGATCTTATCTCAGGCACAATAACTCCCATCAACACCTTGGATTAGGTGGAAATTGCCCCTCTCTCCTGTTTTTCCACTTGAACAAAGGTTTTTGGCTAAAATATTCAGGAAAAATGCCCACTTTATGTGGGAATTATTTTTTTTTGGCAGGAATAGCACTTTTCTCCTGCCTGTCTTTTTGTGAAAGAGAGAAATATAAACAAAGGCATTAAAGGTAGAGAGCTGGAAATATTCCTGCAGACCCTCACAGTACCTACAGTTAGTTCTCAGGACTCATGCTCCCTTTGACCTCCCTGGCTCAAATTCTCTGAAGGGACAGTCTCCCAGGAGGCACCGCAGTGGCTCAGGACGAAACAAGGCCAACAGAGAACATGAAGCCAATCCAGTTGAATTACAACTCCATTATTTACTGCAACAGCACTTCCTAACATTTCCATGTCAATGCCAGAATTGACCTGGAAATGTTCAGGTTTTGTTTGATTTATCTGCTTTGAAGCCAGTATTTCCTGGGCAAGATGCAGATGTTATTTCAGGTGAGATTTTCTGCAGAGGAAAGCAGAGGAAGGGAAGAATCCCTCTCCTGCTCTCCTCTCTATTCCTTTCCCACTGCTCCAATGCCACAGACAGCTGCAGATACACCCAGTCCTGCAGCCTCATAGGAGATGGATCCACAGAGCTGAACTGCCACAGCTGCTGCTCAGCAGAACAGCTGAGCAAGAGAGCAGAGGGCACCTGCCTCCAGCTGGACCCACCGCACACACGTCAAGGGGGATCCAAGCTGTCAAGTGACAGGCTGTGCCCTAAGCTCCACAGAAAACACCCGGGCAAGTTGAACAAGCATCACCTCACCAAGGGATGAAAAGAACAGCAGGTTGGGATGACACATGGCTCAGCCAAATAAGGTGGCAATCAAAATACGGCAGCTGGTGGTACTGCTGTGAGCAGGAGGTTGTTGCAGCTATGCAATGGCTGCTCTGACCATGCTTGGGCCATAGATTTAGCCACCCCTTTCTCTTGCACAGAGCGTAAGCAATACATGCAGTTGACCCTACTGACTCTCTCAGCATCCTCTGTCCCTGTTTAGCCACTGTTGGGGGAACAAATTCCTTGTGGGCATAAGCATATGGCTCTGTGTAGCATTCAAGTATCTGGGGACAGTGTCCTACACAGACAAAAATACAGGCCACATCCCTTCAGCTTTCCCTTCTTCCCAATGCTGAGTTTGTCTCTCCAATTCTTCTGCAAAGTCATATGCCCGAAGAAATTTGGCACAGACTCTCCAATCTAAGCTCATCTCCACTGACAGACCAAGCCTGGTGACCCCACATCCTGGACAGAGTCTTACCTCTGCTATTTTATTTGTGTCATCTCTCCCAGGCCAATCCGGCTCATAAACTTCCTGCAAACACTCTGTCAGCTTCTTGGAGGCCTCGTGCATGGCTAGGAAAGAAGAGGGAACTGCTTCAGAAAGCAGGAAATAGTGTGTTCCTCACAGTTTAACCCTCATCCTGAGGAATGGGGACACAGGAGGGTTATAACAAATACTAAGCTCTTCCTTATAGAATGTCTGACCCTTGATAACACAGAGATGGAAGGTAACCAGAGGGAGAAAGGAACCAAGGATGCAGTTGCATCAAACCCTTTGTGCTCATCACAAACCCCTAGCAAAAGATGTAAGAGTCTATCTGCTAAGACAGCACCACCTGTTTGGCATCAAAGCACAACCCATTCCATCCCAGCTGGTCCTGAAGGATTCTGAAAGATCCCCCACCCAGACAAGGCTGACCTTTCCTACAATTCACGCCTGAGGAAACACCAGGAAGGGGATGGCTGCAGAAACCTCACCGTATAGGTGAGCACTAGAGGGGAAACAATCTTCTGCTTATGCAGACCTTACCTTTTACAGAAGCCAAGTAAGTTCGGAGGTCCTTCTGCAGCCTCGTGCCTTCGGACTGTGAACGTAAGGAGAAGACCACCAGTTATTCTCTCACATAAGGAGACTGTAAGAAGGATGAGTCAAGCATTTCTAAATAAAGAAGAACGGTCTTGCAGATGGGCTACACACCAGCCCTATGACCACATGAGACATAAATGTTAACAGGGAGACCACACAGCCCTCTGACTTGGTAAGCCCACAGCCAGTGACCTGCAGGCATGTTTGGCCAACAATACCACCAAGGTACCGAGTAACTTGATGGGGGTAAAGCTGTGATTTGCTCTGCTCAGCAGAGCCAGCTTTAGTGTTTTGATTTCATACAAGCAACTAGAGAGGGTCCTAAGGGCAACAATTAGTTTATAAGCCAAGGGCTAGTGGGTCTATGCAACAAATGTAACTGAAGGGAGTCTGTAGGATATAGAAGACAGATGCAATTGATTTATTTTGTACTAGTTTGGCAACAGTTTAGCTCACCGCTTTTTCCTGCCGTGCTGCAAACCAAAACCCCAGTGCAAAGTGGCTACAAGGGACCTCTGACCTGCCCAAACATCCTGTCTAAGTTGTCCTGTGCAGCAGGACTTGCAAATACAGTTAATCATCTTGTTCTTTAGCTTCACTGTGGAGCTGGCCTGCCAGCAGCAGATCTCACTCACTAGGAAACAAAGGATTAAAACCAGAAGCTGAGCTGAGTTTCACTAGTTTGAGCCTTCAGATGACACAGCTGAGTGCAGTACAAGAGCCTGGGTTAGAAAGGGTTGTGGACATTTTTACAGCAAGTGTTGGCTCAGACATGCACACGTACATGCACTCCCCATACAACTGCTCTCCTGCACTAGGATAAGCATACTCAGGCCCACCTCCCCTCTACCTTGCCATGTGTCACTGACAGGGGTGCAAAGCAGACAGGGAAATACTCCCAAATTCAGACAGTGACATTAAGCAAAACAGAAACAAAAGGAAGAGCAAGGCTTGAGAAGTTGACCAACACCACCATGGAGCATGTCAAAGCAAGGGAAGGAGCAAACATTGAGGACACCTGTGCAGACAACCTCTGGAGTATGCAAGAAGTACAGAAAAAATTTGAGCAGTAAAGATCTGTTACAAAAGGGTTTCCTTTATACTGTGGGATCTCACTATCCCCCAAAGTCGCTGTAAAAACAAGAATGCAGGAAAGCAACAACTACACCTCACACCTTCCTCACAACCTGCTGCCATTCCTCCTCTTCTTTCTCAGTTTGTGTCCCGTTGGGGGGGGCCCCCAACATAATGAATTTTGACAGCTGAAGACAACTCCAGAGACAGCGAGCTCACAGGACGTCTCTGACAGCTGCCTCAGAGCTACTAGCTTCAAAAGCAGATGTTTCCCATCAGCCCTCCTCACCACTCAGGCATCTCTTGCCTCAACTGAGCTCATGCTGTGATCCCTTGTGCTCTCAGTGCAGCTATGCTCTCTAAGCAGAGGCTAAATCTGCCCAGCTGTTGAAGTGGCAGTGCTAGCATAGCTTTGTAGAGAAATCCATCTGCTTCCAACACTATGGCCCAATTTGTTTTCCTTGCCTCGAAAGTTCTGGATGAGTTCATATTTGTTTTTTTCCTACTGCCATCAACAAAGGAAATGAGGGATGGGAAAGAGCTGGCCACTTTTATAAAAGAAAGTCAGACTCCTAGCCTGGAGAAGCATTGGGAATTGACCCAAAGAGAGTACAGGAGGAAAGGAGTAATGACCACATCTGCTGCAAAAGTCCTAGGAGTTCTTAAAACACAGAGCAAACAAATGTAGAGCTTTTTGCTGGCTTAAGGTGAATATGGAAACCTAGGCAGATGAAACCTTCCTAGCAGTGCAATCAGAAACCACCAGGGAAGAGGTGCCAGAGTAATCAAAGAGCACACACACAGAGGACCATCAGGGAGACTAAGCTGACAAGCAGCAGTTCAATCAAACTGTAATATGTGTTTGCTTGTGCCTGATGCAGGAAGCAAGAAAGGCTTAGAGGAAAGCAGTGCTGTCTCCCTAGAATTGCTCCATGCTAGAAATCACAGACTGGAACTGGCAAGATCAGATGTCAGAACACAAGATGAAATGGCACAGAAGAAATTATAATGCAAAATCCCTCAGATAAATACATTATCATCCTGCAGCTGTATCATTTTTAAAACTGACTAAATTTGAACACACAATGTTGAGGTTATCAGAAACTAATCGGCAGGCAAGGTCCTCTGCAGAACTTGCCCACCACACACTTGGGCATTGCAATGTCTAGAACTGTAACTCTCAAAATTATAGCATCTAAAATCAGAAACCACCTCTAAAATTATGCCCATACTTGCCTGAGTCCTTCCAAAGCAGCACATGACAGAACCCAGACTCATGAACTCTTCAAGTCTTGATAGCCAGTCCAAAAGTCACAAGAACAAAAGGATCCTCTGAGAGGTACACCGGCACCACAATTAAACATGAAATCAAGATTTTTAGATAGACCACCTGAAAAAACTGCAAGTCAGGGCCCAAATACTAGAGTGTGCAATTGCAGCAATGCACAGCTAGCCTTCTGCGTTCTCCAGGCATCCTCAACACCACTTGTCTCGCCATGATGTGCAGTCAGCCAATATACAGTGCTGCATCCTGCAATTGGAGTGGTCTTTCTTAGCCACCCCTTGCTGATGTTTAAAGTCAGAGTTACAGCTGATCTCCATGACTATGGGGTTACCTAAGCCTCTTAAAAGTACCAAGCCTGCCAGGGAGAGTGAATAGACTTTACAGCCTGTAAGATCCGCAGGCAGAAAGATTTTCAAAGAGAGGCCTATGTTCAGAGTTTTGCCATGAATCCCGTTTCCCCAGCTCCCCTGGGCACCTGGAGTTCCCATCCAAGACCCTCTTTGGCATTTCCATTGCTTTATTTCTTGTCCACCAGTAAAGCAGCTCCCTCACTTGCTACAAGGGTTTCTTTTTATTATTTTAAGCATTAATGCTTCCCAAGAAACTTCAGCAACTGCTTTCTCTCTGTGCATGCAGCACCTGCTTTCTGCAAGCAGGCTATAGCGAGCTGTCAAGTACAGCCACGATTCTGCATAAACACCTCTTGCAACGCAGTTAGACACTGTCAAATACTGTATAGAACAGAAGCTTTCAACACCCTTGAATGCACGTTTAAAAGATGCTTCCTAAACTCAGACGTAAAAAAGTAGGGAAGAGAGTTAATCTGGAAAATTAATCCACTTCCCAGTTATTGGAAGAGCTTAAGGGGTTTAAGGGTGTGCAGAGGGAAGTTATAGAGGTATGATTGAATCTAAGTATGTTCAAAAATCTAAACAGCATAGTAATTTTTATATTGCAAGAACATAAAAAAAGAAGAAAGAAAAGTGTGTGTGTATATACATAAATGTAACAGAGTAACAAAATTCCACAAAAGGAAAATAAAACTAGGACAAAAATTGAAGCTCAGTGCTGATCCTGAACCCCATATTCATTTCTCACCCCTGCACTAAAAAACTGACTTAACACCTTTGCACAGGGACAATGACACTGTGTCTTGATGTAGAAGTGACCACAATAAGTTGTTCTACTCAAACACACAAATGTCACCCTGTTTGAGCAGATTTTGCTATATTTGCAATCACAGTGTAATTCAACCCTGTGAGCCTATAACACAACCAGGTATAGTATGAGGGACAGTATGTACAGGAAGATGCGTATTTAAAAATAGAAGTGCTTGCTTGGGAGGCTGGAAGAGCTCCCTCTCCAAAGACCTAATGAACCACCTATTACTGATAGCTCTGTTAAAGCACAAGAGTGGTTTTGTTTCTTTTTGTGCTTTCTTGTTTTGTTGGGAGGTTGTTACTAACAATACCTTTCACTGAGCACTAGTTAAGTATGTGATTTTCTGTAGGCCTGTTTCTTGGTAGTAGACAGGTTTCCTAAAACCCTTTTTTCTCTCCAATCTTCAAAAGAAATTCTTTCATCCTAGCATTAGACTGTGACCCCTTCTTTACATAACCTCCCTGGTTTTGCAGTTCTGACGGGAACGATTTTTATTATCAGCAGGGATGTTCTGCACCTGAGAGGGACAGGTAATGTCCTGTTCAGATTAGATTAATATAAAGCTGGAAGAGCAGACTGAAATTATAAAGAGGGGAGAGGGGGGAAGCATTGAAACAACAGCTCCAGATAAGCCCCCACTCAGCAAAACTTCAGAGCTGTTAAGACACAAAGCATGAACAACCGGTAAGAAGCTCCTATCCTCACCCGTCCTCGGGTACCAGGCAAGCTGTTAAACTTGTTTTGCTACCTAGGGCTGAAATGGAAACTGCTGGGTGTGAAGGATTCTTGCCTGGACAGAAAGTCTCTCTCTGACTGTGGACCATTACAGTCACTAGGTCAAACCTACACTGCAAGAGCAAAGATTTAAGTCCACGCTGCCTGCCCTGCAGGCTGAAGCTCTGCCGAACACCGTGGGGTATGGGCAGAGATGGATGCAGCCCGTGCCAGCAGCAGCTTGTCTCTCATGCATTTGGTGTGAAACACTGTAAACCAAACCAGAACTTCCACATGAGTGACAGCTCATGAAGGGTATCAAAACCCAGCCGCTCTGCCAGGCGGAAGCGCAATGTGGTGCCAGGTGTAAGGGCTGCCACCAGCCTCCCACTCTCCGTCTCTCCAGCAAGTATTTCAAATGCAGGGGAAGAGAAGCCAAAACCTGGCACACCTCAGGCAGGGGCTGTGTTGCACCTTTGCAGCAGGCCTCTTGCTCCCAGGTCTGCAAGGAGAATTTCCAGGACAGACCCTTGTGCCGGTGCCTGAACACAAGTGACACTGGGAAAGGGAAGGAGGGGGCAGCCTTCAAATGAACTTTTTGGGAGGTTAATTTCCAAAGATAATCTGTCATGAGGGAGTAATATGGGGGCCAGTTGTGTTGCTTGTCAAGCCTTCAAGGGACACAGGCGAGCCCTGTAGCCCTGCAGAAGCATGGTTATGTCCAGCTCATTTGTCATGCAGCAAATCCATCTGTCTGAGCTAAAAAGCTCCTACCATTCAGAGACCTCAGAGTGGTGCTCTTATATGAACCTGAATGGACAGAGAGCTGGGAAGTGCAGCGCTTTCCCTTATGTCCACCCAACCACCGTTTGAGAGAACCACAAGATGCCTTGGGTGAAAATGAATAAGTGATTTTTAGACCTGCTCTCCATTCATCGACAGCCCACGCATGGGAACATTTGTCAGTGGCCCAACACAGTCATTGGAGTCGGAGGAGCCTCTAATCAAACAGCAAACAAGGCCACTGCCTGGTCACACCCCAGCCAGTTCCACAGGTGAGTTGTTCTGTCACAAGCCTGCAACAAAAGATCAGCTTTCCTCCAGACTTAACATTTCCCACTGGAGCAGACCTTGTAAGGAAAGGCCACAGAAATCTCACACATAGCTGTACTACACATACATATCATACATATAGAAACAAAAACAAGTGTGTATATATGCACATATAGTTGAAGTTTTTTCCCCAGCTTGGCATCATAACTACTCCTCAGCCTTGGATATCCTAACAATCCAGCTATCTCACATTTATGGTTTGCCTTGTAAAACAGGCATCGTTTGCATTTATTTTAGTAATAGGAAAACTGAGGGCCAAAGCAAAACCAACAGACCCCAAGCAGCAAATGCAGAGCAGCCTCCAGTGCCTTTGATAAATTATTTGGAGAATTTAGTTCATGGTCTGCCCTGCAAGATGGGAAAAGAAATTCAGCTATAAGGGATACAGAGGCAGTGCTTCTTTAACAGGCTTCTCGGTGCACCACTAGAACTCGTGGCTTTGGAAATTGAAAAGCCATCCCAGACAGCCAGATCAAGAAGTTTGGATTTGAGTTTTTCAGTATTTCTCCTTTAAAAAGGCTATTTCCTGATTGCTGATACTTAAAAATGATATGGAAAAGTCACACCTGGTAATGTCATGTTGTCAGAAAGAAGCCAAACTGTATTCCTCTGCGTACAAGAGCATATCATTGGTGGATATGCTATAGAGACACTGCATGAACTTCTGGAGCAACAGCTACTATTGCTGCCAAGAGAATGAGCGTTAGTCTCTAGGAATCTGCAGTCAGCTCCGGTTAGACATAAGTCAAGGTCAGACTGAAAGATTTTCATTATATTCAGCTGTGGCAAATCCCTTCTCATCTGGTTTTGCGACACATAAGCACATCTGCTGAGTCCTAACAGACACAATGCAGCTGCCGCTAACAGCTCCAGAAAAAGATCCTAAATAAGTCAGGGCACAAAGGAGCTAAAAGATTTCTTCAGCACCATCTGAGCTTTGGTGTGGCATGCATTTCCTGCCATGAAACAGAAACAACACTTTCCTTAACACCAAGCACTGCAGTGCAAGTCCCCTGAGGTAACTGATCTTTTCCCCTCCTCTGGGTGGCTGAAAGCTCCAGACAAAAAAACCCTCAAAACAACAAAAAAAACCCCAACCACACACAACCCCCCCTCCACACACACACCCCCCAAAACCACACCCAGTTCAAGATATAAACCCACTGCTGTTTAAGTAGGAGGGTGGGTGAAAATTGCTACACTGTTAAAATATTTTTTGTGCGCTAAAATATAGGGATGAAGTCTACACGTGAAAGAATGACGACTCAGGCCTGACACAGTGATTGTGCAAGGTGAAGGAAGAAGTTAGATTTAGATCTTAGCCATGGAAGGATGTTCCCTTTTCACCATTTGCTTTCTTTGTCTCTTCTGCTTTCCGCTGTGCTTAGGAAACTGAATCTGCCTTGTTCTATTTTATTTTTTATTTCTAATCTATTTCCCATCCTATCCATCTTTCAGAGACACAATGTTGGTCTTATGTCTCTGCTTCCAGCCCAGCAGGAAAAGTTACATTACAAAGCAGCTGCTAACTGAAGGAAGCGTTCTGGTCGAGCTATTTCTCTTCCTAAACTTGGGTCTAGAACAAGTATTATTTTTCAGCATACACTCTCACTGACTCCATGATAGGGACACTGGAAGACAGTGTAATTTCTCATAAGTGAACAGCTATGAGTTGTGGGTCACTTCAATAGGCCTATGGCATCGTTTAATTTAATGGGTTTTAATTGCATATTGCAGCAGATGACTGGAAGCTAATGCTGAAACTCAGGGTGTAATTATGTATCACCAATTATCTTACCAGCTGTTTGTTGAAATTCTGCACGCACTGTTCAAACTGCTCATCTTTTGTTTCATCAGCTTTCCCAAGCTTCTGAAGGACCTGCAGGAAGAGAGGAGAAAGATAGGAGATTTCAAACACAGCTATAGCAAAGCAGAGACAAAGAAATAGTTGCAAGTATTTGTTCATGAAGCTGAAAGAAGAAAAGTTAGAGTCTCCCTTATTCTTGCTCTAATAATTTCTGGAATATTTCTCTACACACACAGAGTTTGAAAAAGGACTTACAGACGAATCAGGATGAACTCAGACCTCTTATACTTTGCTGTACCAAAGAGCATGACTGAGGTTTGTCCTTCACTGGTCTAATGCTTTTTGCAGACAAGGCAATAGCAACGCAGTTGTTTATCTCCTGGACCAGCAAGAAACAAACCACATCCCTAATATGCCTTGTATTGTGCGGTTACACTTAATCCTGATTTAACACTTGACTCTGGTCCAGACAGGGTGGGCTTTTTTTGCTCCTAGAACAGCTGGGCTGTCCTCAAACACAGAAAGCCATGCAGAGACCTCCTTAGAGAGAGAAGGTGGCTGGAGCAGTGAAAGTCCCACCTTCTTTCCACCTTTTCTCACTATGCACATGCTTGGCAGGAGCTGGCTGTTGAGAGCAACTGGGGACCTTACATCATGAGTCTACGTGACACTCAGTCTAAGTATCACGTCTGAGAGTGTCAGCAGCCAGCCCTGTTCCTCTCACCGCCTCCCTGCACAGCACAGCTCCCCACAGCCTGTAAAAAAAAATCCTTATCACACTACTTCCCTTATCACACTTCTCTCTTAATGATCTCTCCATACAGCTAAGTGGATCGCTTCTAGGCTTTGAACAAAGCACTTCATTTTCTGGGCAGGAAGGTAGGTCCATCACAAGAGGGTTGGGCAAACTGCAGCTGTGGAGGAGGGCAGCAGTTATTTGTCATGCCCCAAGCAACTCCAGCAGCAGGGAGACAAGAATGTAAACTTTAAGCTTGATTATAACATCTTTGTTAATCGAAAATAAAACCTGACCATGCCAAAAAAAAAGCCTTGTCTCTCAAGGCCAGTAAAAACAGAGAAAAGCTCACTCAGTCCTTAGTCACAGGAGATTCTGGGGAGCCAGAGGTTGGCTAGAAAGGGTGCCAAGGGAACACCTCAAAAACCAAGGGAGCCCTGGCTAGCAAGAGCATGACTGCCCAAGAGGCAGAAAGCACTGGAAAGCCAAAGTCTCTCTTGCTCTGCTGAGCACAGCAGTCCTTTAGCCACAGGTCTCAGCCATCATCTTCAGCCCCTCTTGAAGGGAAGAGGGTCAAGATGGAAAAGCAGGTGCATGTTACTGCCATCAGGTCTACAGGAAGGCCACTAGTAAGTGTCTCCAGACCAGCTGCTCTGAGGGACTGCCAGGTAGCCATGAGAGCCACCCAAACCAGCTTCCTCCAGCTCCCTCTGTTACATGCACAGATCTTCTCAGAGAACATAAAGAGGAAAAGACTGAGCTACTTAATGCCTTCTTTGCCTCAGTCTTTAGTAGGCAGACCAGTTATCCTCAGGGTACTCAGCCCCCTGAGCTGGAAGACAGGGACAATGAGCAGGATGAACCCCCCATAATCCAAGAGGAAGCAATCAACGACCTGCTACGCCACCTGGATGATCCCAAGTCTATGGGGCCAGATGGGATCCACCCGAGGGTGCTGAGGGAGCTGGCGGAGGAGCTCGCCAAGCCACTCTCCATCATTTATCAGCAGTCCTGGTTAACGGGGGAGGTCCTGGACGACTGGAGGCTTGCCAATGTGATGCCCATCTACAAGAAGGGCCGGAAGGAGGATCCGGGGAACTACAGGCCTGTCAGCCTGACCTCGGTGCCACAGAAGATTATGTAGCGGTTCATCTTGAGGGTGCTCACAAGGCATGGGCGGGACACCCAGGGCATCAGGCCCAGCCAGCACGGGTTCATGAGAGGCAGGTCCTGCTTGACCAACCTGATCTTCTATGACCAGGTGACCCACCTAGTGGAGGAGGGAAAGGCTGTGGATGTTGTCTACCTGGACTTCAGTAAGGCCTTTGACACCGTCTCCCACAGCATTCTCCTAGAGAAGCTGGCGGCTCACGGGTTAGACAGGTGTACTCTGCGCTGGGTGAAAAACTGGCTGGACGGCCGGGCCCAGAGAGCTGTGGGGAATGGAGTTCAATCCAGTTGGCAGCCAGTCACGAGCGGTGTTCCCCAGGGCTCAGTTTTGGGGCCGGTCTTGTTCAATATCTTTATCAATGATCTGGATGAGGGGATCAAGTGCACCCTCAGTAAGTTTGCAGACGACACCAAGTTGGGCGGCAGTGTTGATCTGCTCGAGGGTAGCAAGGCTCTGCAGAGGGACCTGGACAGCCTGGATCGATGGGCCGAGGCCAACTGTATGAGATTCAACAAGGCCAAGTGCCGGGTCCTGCACTTTGGCCACAACAACCCCATGCAGCGCTACAGGCTTGGGGAAGAGTGGCTGGAAAGCTGCCTGGCAGAAAAGGACCTGGGGGTGTTGGTCGACAGCCGGCTGAACATGAGCCGGCAGTGTGCCCAGGCGGCCAAGAAGGCCCATGGCATCCTGGCCTGTATCAGCAATAGTGTGGCCAGCAGGAGTAGGGAAGTGATCGTGCCCCTGTACTCGGCACTGGTGAAGCCGCACCTCCAATACTGTGTTCAGTTTGGGGCCCCTCACTACAAGAAGGACGTTGAGGTGCTGGAGCGTGTCCAGAGAAGGGCAACGAGGCTGGTGAGGGGTCTGGAGAACAAGTCTTATGAGGAGCGGCTGAGGGAACTGGGGTTGTTTAGCCTGGAGAAAAGGAGGCTGAGGGGAGACCTCATTGCTCTCTACACCTACCTGAAAGGAGGCTGTAGTGAGGTGGGTGTTGGTCTCTTCTCCCAAGTAACTAGTGATAGGACGAGAGGAAATGGCCTCAAGTTGTGCCAGGGGAGGTTTAGATTGGACGTGAGGAAAAATTTCTTTACTGAAAGAGTGGTTCAACATTGGAACAGGCTGGCCAGGGGAGTGGTTGAGTCACCATCCCTGGAGGTATTTAAAAGACGTGTAGACGCGGCACTTAGGGACATGGTTTAGTGGGCAAGGTGGTGTTGGGTTGACGGTTGGACTCGATGATCTTAGAGGTCTTTTCCAACCTTAACGGTTCTATGATTCTATGATTTTTCCCCTGCAGGGCAGGGATCAGACTTTCATGTTTGGTCCCCAAAATGGCATTGAGAAGGTCCACGCAACAGGATGTAGAATAGAATATTTTCAGTTGGAAGGAACCTACAACGATCATCTAGTCCAACTGCCAATGCACCTATTGGCCCACTCTCATCTTTTTACACAGCCAAGGCAGAGGACATTTGTCTTAGGTCTATTTGGCTAATCTCAGTTCCCCTCTCTCCCATATAAGCACGCATATTCCCAGCTCACCCCTGACCACAATAACTGACTCTAGCGCAAGACAAGATAAATCAGTGCAGTCATTCAGCACTGGCTCGTAAGTCCCCTTATTTAGGCTGGGATTGAACATCTAGGAGGGATTCACTGTTTTTCATTCTCCCTCTGTTCAACAGCCTCTCTTCACCTCCAGGAATCACTGAGGTATTCAAGTGTCAGCAAAAGGAGGGGAGAAAGGACACATACAGATAAAGACTGCCCTCTTTGTGACCAAGAGCTGAACCAAAAACCTCCAGAGTTAGAAGCACAACTTTCTACAGTCCAAGCGACAGCAGCAAACACTGCAGCTGGTAAACCTGTGTGTGCAGTAGGACATAGAGAGCACGAATATTCCCTTCTTCCTCTCAAACCCTTGGCACAGAAGAGCTCGCTGGAGGGCAGAAGCAGCAACATTGGTTGAACAGGCGAAGTCCTGTACACCAGCCACTGGTGCCTCCTTTGCTCATCTGCTCCAGTGAAGGGGAACGCATGCCACAGCAATGCTGCTGCTGAGGCTACACATTTCTCTGCCATGCCAGCAGGAGAGAAGGATTCAGTATGGCCTTTTCTTTGTCATCAAGTGGTATGGTGAACCTCTTCCAGAAAGGATGCTGCTCAAAGGCCCTGTGTTCAGCTGTACTACTAGGCTACTAGATTTATGGAGCATGGATTTCCCACCTGCTGCATGACTTCCACAGAGCCATAATGCCAGTAGCATGCATCACCGATAACGATAAAGTATGCAAGCTGCAAATTCCAAAGCAGAATGATACTCTCAATGTGCAGATCAATAGAATTGTTGGGGATACAAAGGAGCTTTTTATGGGGCAATGCATCTGTCTGGTTAGTCAGGAGACGCAATGCTTTCAGGCCTGGAGGGGAGGGAAGGAGACCATTTAACTGGGAGGAATCTGGAGTATGTCGCCAGGGTCAAAGGTTTAGAACAGCCTCAGTGCTTCCTGGTGTTAAACACTGAGCAGCACCCACAGACTTTTCATTGTGGTGGCCGTGCGCCTGCTTCCCACGTGTCCCAGAAGTTAATCTGCAGTTCCACTGCTCCTCTGGGGACAAGCACACTGAGTCTCGGGTCATCCAGCCAGCTGGGAAGATCTTGCTCCACTATGCTGAGGTGCTCTGCACAAGTCCTGCAAAAAGCTGGGCACTGGAAAGGGCTCTAACTCACAGCCTATCTCTAAGGAAGAAACTTCTGCTGCAACAGCAATGCTCAGCTGAGGAGCAGCTCTGAATGAGGGGGGAGGAAATAATAAGAAATCTTGCATTTTTTCACAGTAGTGACATGGGGCGGGTGAAACGGAAGACTCGGGGACACCAGCAGAGGAACAAGGCAAGGAAAACAAAGCCAGTTACGAGAGAGAGACTGTGAGAAGTGAATCCCTGGCTACACCAAAAAACCTGCTCTTGCTTCCTGTCCTCTTCCCCCATCTCATAGATGAAGGCTTGTGCCCCACGCCTGCTGGCCCTATAAGTGAGTCCCAGTCATACAGCCCACTCTGATCCCTTTATTACTTGCTATGACACAGCAGAGAGACAACAGTCCCGGGCTGCAGCAGGGCAGGGGTTATCTTCTCATACCACCCTCCCTCAAAAACAGATCTGCCCCATACAAACAGCCCAGAGGTCAAACCCTAAGGTCATCTGAGCAGCATAAAATGATGGTTCCACAAGGCTGGCCCTCAAGCCTGCTCCCAGCTCTCCCATCAAAGAGCTGTACAGGCAAGCTGTACTAACAAATCCCTCTGGACCCCCTAAACCAGCCAGGGATGGAAGAGATGGCCTGGGGTGTGCTGCTGACCACAGGCATGTCTGTGCTCACTGCTAATAACCCGTGAGCTCACAGGACAACTCCCCTCCCCAGGCTGGTACGTGCCGTCATAGGTCAGGCTATTCCGGGTGAGCCACGGCTGCTCCCTCCCTTCCCCTGCAACAGTCTTTAATCCTCCAGCTTGCTGCAAAGCCAGATAAAGTTCGGATGGAAACTTCAGGCTCTTTGATAG